TTTTTATGCATTTAATAAATGCCTTATGCGTCATTTGGGGCGTCAGAAGACCTTCAACAGGGGTTTTTGAGCGTCAAAAGTGGCCACAAAATTAATTACAAGTGCACACAACATTAATTGAATCAATTCGGGGGACTTTTGGTAATTTTATTTATAATTATATTTGTTAGTTGGCTCTAACATAGTAGCCAGCTGACAGTTTCTGTGGAAATGACCAATAATTTGGATGGGATAGCATTTCAAGATTGCTTGATAGGAGGAACAAATATGAGAGGCCTAGTGCCAGGTTTCACAATGGCTGGCACCTGCCACCGTCGTGTGATTGAAAAAGATTGAAAAGTAAACCGGAATCAAACCTCACACCCGTGTTGCCCAACTGTAATGTGACCACCACCAAGCCGTAGGTATTCCTCAGACAACAGGGTGAATGTTGCATTCAGGGCTGTAGTAGACATTGTTGATGGTAATGGTCCCCAACTTATTAACGAGAGTCATCTTCCCAACTATGGTGACAAAATATTTGGTAGCGTTAGTTGCTACATTTAAAGGAACAGGCTCAGCGAGCTTGATGTGGTCAAAAATTAGCAACAGGTAATTGGGGAAGGTATGAGAATTGCACGAGTCCAACCCAAATAACTTGGCCCCATTCTTCATCAGCCAGTACATCTCTTCTGGTGTAACATTGGGATTGACGCTTTGGAGAGTGAGTTATTGAATTGATTGGTCCACTGGTTCATTCCCCAAATCAGCAGAATTGATGGAAAAGGTTGGCTTAGGGGGTGCAGTGACACTACGCTGAGTGTAGTTTGATGGTGAGGAAGTTGCTGAACGGGATGTTGGTTATGTAGTAGTGGACGAGCATGGAAATGTAGCATATTGGATGTAGAGTAGCCTTCATTAATCCTCTTCTCACTGTTAAAGCAAGTAGCACTGTGTTTTTGGAACTGTGTTGTGGCCATGGTAGGGGGAAAACTGTGGTATGCACTTGCGGCATTGCTACAGTTACAAGCACCACGGGGGTGGGGTGAGGGAGTTCATGGTGGTCTTGTCAATTAAAAACCAGTACCCAAAGGTAACAACTGCAATTCCAACCCAACCATTTCGTCATTTACTCTTTCTATTTGGCATTGGCAAAGTGGAAGATGAGGAGGAAGTGATGGAACCATCAAAAGTTGTTTCTTTGGCTGCATATTGGCTGCTAGACAACAATGTATTCTCCATCCCTGAAAATGGGATGGCTCTAATACCTAGTGGATATGATGCATATCTCAACATTACAGGTCATGAATGCTTTTTTCTTTGCTTTTCTTTTGTTTTTTTCTTTTGTTTTTTTCTTTGTTCTTTTTATCTTCATTGGTCATTATGATGTGCAATTTAAGCGTTATCATTTTGCACCCTCATCATTTTATTGTTCTAAAAACAAAGATCATATTCTCATTGATGATTCATCCCCAACATGCGGTTTATCAGTCAGCTTATACTTTGCAATACACACTTTATTTCATCAACTTTTTTTTTGGCATACCAAAGAGCA